AAATTTTCATCCCTTTTTTAAACTAGTGAATAATCATGCCTCATTTGGAGCTTACTTTCAGATTTTAGGATCTTCATAGTTCCCTCAGGATTTTAGGTTCTAATTGGTAGACTCATGGTGTATCTTCACAATCATAGGAGGCTTTTTAAAGTCTATGTTCTTGAGAATTCTTGGAATATCTTGCCCACCTTCTATTTCTAGGTATATCAGAAACTATTCTCTAATATCTAATAGTTTCAGGTTGAGACATATGTTAGTCTGTTTTTATTTTCAGAGTCTCTGGAATTTAGAATGCTACTCATGGATAAAGATAAAAGCCTGAAACTCCTATTGCTTGGCAGACACAAATTGAGTATCATCAGATTGGTAACTGAAATAATGAACTCTATAACAGGGAACGTTAATTTGAGAGAAATTGTGCATTTTGTTTTCAGCTTCGAATTAAATATGTACAAAACTCAATGGCAAAAATAGCTAATCTTTGTACAAATATTAACAAAAATGGGGAAAAAATAAACTCAGTAAGGAAAAAATGAACAAGAACTTTGTTCACAATTAATGGGTTACGTTTTTAAAAATAAACAAGTTAATGATACATTTATTTTGTGAAAACTTCTCTTTGAACATATGCAAATCCCATGTTGACTCCAGAAACATTGGGAAATATTTATTTTCCAATACTCTGAATCCTGAATTCCATATTATGTAATTGAGGAAGCATTAAAGGTATAATGTAATCCCATGACTCAAATGAGGGGTTTCTCCAGCTGTAGAACATTTCCTGAATGTTCATACTAACTCTAATATCAGGAACTCCATATTTTTGTGCTTCTTGGAAACAATTTTTATAATATGGGGTTGCTGAAAAAATAGTTAATGTGAAATAAAGGGGGCAACTGTATACAGTAAAATGCAAATAAAACATATCTACTGTCTTTAAGTGGTAGATGTTGAATCACCTCTAACTGTGCTGTTCAATAGGGCATTTCATAGCCACATGTGAATTTACTTTAATTCAACGTGATTTAAATGTAAAATTCAATTCCTTAGTTGGACTAGCCTCATTTCAAGTATTTAACAGCCTCATTGGACTCAGAGATAAATATTCCCATCATTGCAGAAACTTGTTGGTCAGCTTTGATCTATAACACATACAACTATACACGATTTCACAAGCTTACTACTCAGTGATTACTTAAGACTAATTATAGTTACTTACTGTGGTTATAATTATTGCTAAGTTATTACTTATTATCGATAATTATATAATCTTTCCAATGCTTACAGGAACCGTATTGTCCCGTATTTGAGAAGGTTTTGATCTCCTTTTGGTTCCTGGCCGTTGTGGTTTGGGAAATAACAGGGCAAAGTGTTGCTGATTCCATGATTTTTTGCTTAATTCACTGACTAAAATAAGGAAGACAAAACACACATTTTGGAGTGAATAGAATTTCATCAGAGCTGAAATGGCATTACGTGCAACATACATCATGTAAATGAATAAACAAGTGATTCAAATTATGACTTCATTTGTTTGGTAATGTTTGCAATTTTCTGTTATCAATATGAGGAAATAAACATTGATTTTTCTATTTTGAGCAGTTTCACAGATAATTGTGTTAAGTAGTCATTGCAAAACTAACATAGCTATAATATAAATGGAAAGATTCAGTTTTACTGCTTCCTTTTAAATCTGTCTCTTCCAGTCCAGGTATTTGCTTTATGCTTTTCGTTAGCATACAATTTTATTAATAACAGAAAATAAGTTAACCGCTTCTGTAGCTCCCACAGTACTTAGCACAATGGCGGCATAAATATTCAGTAAATATATGATTTAATCTAAGTGCTAAGGCTTAAGATCTCCTTAATTAGTAATAATTTTCCAAAGTACAGGAGTAAATGCGGCCGGGCACGGTGGCTCACGCCAGTAATCCCAGCACGTTGGGAGGTTGAGGCGGGCGGATCACGAGGTCAGGAGACCGAGACCATCCTGGCTAACACGGTGAAACCCCATCTCCACTAAAAATACAAAAAATTAGCTGCGTGGTGGTCGGCGCCTATAGTCCCTAACTACTAGGGAGGCTGAGGCAGGAGAATGGCATGAACCTGGGAGGCGGAGCTTGCAGTGACCCGAGATCACGACACTGTGCTCCAGCCTGGGCAACAGAGCGAGACTCCGTGTCCAGAAAAAAAAAAAAAAAAATAGAGTAAATTCTATACACCCAAGAATGACATTTTATAGGTAACATATTTTGTAATGGAAATTGACAAAAAGTCTACAGAATGGTAACTGGCTGGGTGAAGTAATCTGGAAACTATAATAGAAATGATTAAAGATATTTAATTTACCAATGAGACCAAGGAGAGATTTCATCATTGTATTTAGATACATGCAGCATTAATGTGTGGAAATAATAGACATTTCTATGAATTTTCTAAAGAAAATCGGATCAATGGGAAAAATGTACAGAAGAAAATTATATTTAAACTCAGTATCTGAGGGGAAAGTACTTGATATTTGAAGTTATTCAAAATCAAATGCCTTTGCCTTGTCTAGTAAAGAAATTTGGGGCCAATTATAAGCTGGATATAATCTATCAGGAATGTTGTAGAAGAAATTCCTGACTTATAGGAAATTTCTAAATAACAAGAAGTTATTTATCCAATTTCTACATTGCTTTTCAACTGTAAGATTATCTGATTGTATGAATTCTAACATGTAACTATTTCCGGCTTTCATATACTGAACATATTTACTTAAACTTCTTTGGATTCAAAACAAAGCAAAATATATGTAAAAGGTGTTCACTGTGCCTGTAAGAAAGGTAATTATCAATTTTATTTCATGGCAATGTTTGCTTCATCACTTTGAATGGAGGATAATACCATAAAATTAAGCACACATGTTTTGCAATACATATTGAATGCTTTCTTACCTGGAATGTAATTATCATATGGCCCAAAGTTTACTCTTTGGCTATTAAAATAAAAAAGAAAGGTTTTAGTTAATTTATATAAAATCACTGTTTTAAATTGTCAATAATATACTTCAGTACTTGCAACCAACAACCAGAGAACTATTTTACAATCTCAGATATCTTTTGTTATATAAGATTACTTCATCTCCAGGATAATAGAGATGAGCAAATGTGTTTTCAAACTACAACAGTACTAAATAATGGTCGGTCAAACAAACTATATATACAAATATGGATCACAAATATATGTGTGTATATTTTCAGATGTACACTTTGTTTACATATGTGTGTGTGTAAACAAATTGCACATCTGAAAATATACATTTTAAAAAATTACAAAAACACAGTTGAATTATTTTTCCCAGTTCATGCTCCAAATTCTCTTGCAATTGAATTTGAAAAAAGGTATCACTTTGTAAACCCTATGCTTATGTAAAAGCATATCCGCAAAATATTCTCAAAACTTCACCAAATCCAAATTATTAAATGGCATATGTGTGCACCCATGAATTTGTGTGTGCATGTGTATATGTCAGTGTGCACAAGGAATTTTATTATTTTTTAAAGAAAATCTGAAAAAAACTATATTGCAAATTGTTTTCCATTTATAGGTTCCCATTTGTTTTATTACTATCTAAACATGGTTGTTCCCATGAAGGAGTGTTTTACAATCCAATTTTTATTTATTGGTGATGAAGACAAATCCTAAGATCTATTAGAGAAATATTACTTTACATTGTTTCATTATATTTTGGATACAGAGCCATGGTTGGTCATGAGTGAGTTTGAGGCTTATGTGCTCATACACAAACACACACATGGTGTTTATTTGACAGTGTGTAAAACCTAAGGTTTAAGCATAGAAAAGCAGTGTTTTGATACCTTGACTAAAGAATGAAGCTAGCAGCATAAAACGTGGCACATTTTTTCATGCTATAAAATTTTGTATTAGCTGAATAATATTTAATATGTTTTCACCAATAAGTTATCTAGCCTATCATCTTAAACTGAGTACATGCAACTAAATTACTTGCCCCACCATATCTGAATCTCTAAATTCAGATCCAGTCAAAGTACATTTATATACTACTGAAGAAATGTTGATGTCCAACGATGATTATGAACTAACTGCATTATTCCAAAAGCTCTCAAAGAGGAAAGATTTCAAGTTCATGAAACATTTCTAAAATTGAGATTTTCAAAACAGTACATTAGAATGATCTGTTAATTTCTTCTTTAATTTCTAGGACATATTCTTTAATCACCCAGCAATTGAATTTGAAATCAATAATAAAATTATCTAGAAAATATGTAAACATTTGAAAAATAAACAGCTCCTTTTAAAGAACTAGTGGTCCAAAAGGACCACAATGAAAACCTATTTAAAAAGAAGCAACTTAACAATAAGATAATATATGAAAATTATAGAATACTGCTTAAAAGTTCATAGAGAATAACTTGCAGTTTTAATATTTTATATTATAGAAACTGTTTAAAATCAATGTTTTAAATCTCTCCATTGAAACTAGGAAAATAGTATAAGAAAAGAAATAGAGGAGGACTAAGTATGTTCCAACTCATTTTTGAGGCTAATATAAATAACCCAAATCCTTTTTAGGTCAATACTAAAAATGCATATTACAGATGAATATCCCTCATTAATATAGGCACATAATTTCTTAAAATTTAAA